GGGAAGCCACCGTTAAGACACCGGAAAGCAATCCATGCAAACTCAAACCCAGCAATACGAAATCAAATGGACAATCGAACTCCAAAAACAAACTAAATCAAGCCACCCAGCAATACCACAGCAACTGAACACTTGAATCCTCTCAACAGGACGCTCTGTCAAAACCAAATTAGATGAAAGAGAATGAAAACACGTGAGGCATGTCCAAATCGTGTCATGACTTGCTATGTTGTGTAATTTGGCTCACGCCACCAGCTTACGCCGCCTTGCGCTTGTGGAGTCTTCGCTTGCGCGACACAAGACGTGAATACTACTAAAAGTGTACTGGGAGGTGTTGGACGCAGCTCAAGTGGGCTGCTGTCGTACTCACCAATTTTGAACGGTGGGTGCTTGAATATTTGAGAGAGGCTGATTGATAAAGGAGGCTCGATAAAACCATGGAAGGTACATGGTGTGCACATGGGGGGGGTGGTCCTCAAAGACTGATTTTGGTGACCAGCCAAAACCATCAAGCTGCCTCGGGCCCAATGTTAACGCCAGATAACGCCGAGGGGTACCCAGATAACCCTTTTCTCTGTAGTCTGTTTTAGGGGAGGGTACCATTTCAGCTGGGGAACCAACAAAAACAAAGGCGAAAAGGGTGTCACTGAGCAGTGGGGAAATGGCTACACTACCCGCAGGCATGTCTTTCATGAGACTGACAAATATACTTATATATATATACATATATAATATGTATATATAGATATATATATATATATATATATAATATATTTAATATACATGTGTGGTTGCCTTTCAGTCGCGGAATGGATGCAAGCCATTTAAATCCGTGAAACCCGCCCCACCGGGCAGCCGCGCGCTTCGGTGAAGGCCTTAGAAAGAAGAAGCTGAAGCAAGGCAATGCAGGGTCCATTCTCATAGTTCGGGGCGGCGGAATTGCGGAAGTTGGCCCCAGAAAGGGGCGGATTGGGGCTGGGTGCGGATTGGGGCTGGGTGCTTCTTTTTTTTGAGAGCCCAATATGATTGCCCGATACCCCAATCACCCAACCTGCAGAACCAAGAGGAAGCGTTCCCTAACCCGATATGACATTCTCGTAGGTGTGTGCAGCTGGCAACAAAATTATCGTAGGCTGTACGCCTTACTCGTATGTGCAGCTGGCAAACTCAGCAAATCAGCCATCACTGGAGCTGTGAGGCACTGTGAGGGAGCAAACAACAAATACCTCTAGGCATGATGAATTCTCGCCCCTACACCAGCTGAAAGAATCTAAAGTGTAAGGGCATGGAAGGGAATCTGCAAACAAATGGCAATCTGTCGGCCACCCACGTTCTGTTCGGCCACTTCATGTCAGTCGTTGCCGTCCCTGCCTCAGAGGGGTGGGGGTATAAAACCCACTTGAGCTCTTGCAGGCCTAGAAATCCCTAAAATATGCTTGAGCCCAGCAATTTTATGGGCTTCGACGTGAAAACCCGGCAAAACAAATCCGTGAGTTGTCCTCTTGGCTTCCCCTGAAACACAACCCAAGAGGGCTCCAACACAATAAAAAACAAACACACATGAGCCACATCAAACCCCGGTATTAAAATGGTCTTCCCAGAACTATGTTTTAAGAATTAAGAAGGCGGATATCCGAAACTATTTCTGACTGGGACAGCCTCGTACCTTTCATCTACCCGATTTGGTTAGCAAGTGGCTCCAACAAAATCCACAATATTGAAAAACAAAAAGTGAACACCACCAGAAAAGCGCGCTGTCACGGGCCGGCATCCCAAGCGAAGAGGGAAGCTGAGGTCAGGGCCCGGCGTGTCATCCAAGAGCTTCTCCTGAACATGCAAGCAACAGGCCGGTGCCTGAGATATACATATTATATATATATATATATGTATATATGTATATGGTCAAAGGCTCGCATATATATATATATATATATGGTCACCCCCCATGATCCACGCACGCATATATATATATACACACACACATACATATATTTAATAATCTTATTACACGATGTAAAGAAACAAGTATATATGGTGGAAGTTCATCAAAGGTAAACCACCAAACCACCAATCAGTTGGCATAGACACCAACCAGCCAGAATAGCCACCCTTAGCACACAGTTGTCTGGTGTCAAGTGATTACTCACAGCTGCCAACTTTACTAACTGACTCACGAGAGAAACCAAAAGATCTGGCAGCTTCTGAAATCCGTAAGCTGCCCCGGGGACGGATGTTCGGAATGCTAGCCATATCTCAGGCTACAAGTATGGGAAAGAATGGACGTGGCACCCGGCCAACTTCCTCTCCTGCTTGGGTCGCGACCAACTCAGTCTGAAAAAGTAACCCATGGAACGAAATGTTCTGAGGTCCGAACGCAGCTGTGGGCTTCTGGTTGCTGGCTCTGGCCCCCAGTCACTCCAGTTTATGGTGGCAAGGAAACGGGGCTCCATGTGGGGGCAAGCCGGCAAGCCATAGTGTCCTATTTGGCGACATTTGGGTATGTCTCAACTAGGCAAGCTCCGGAAAATCTGTCCTTTTGGCTTCCTTTTGAACCAGCGTGAAAAGGAAACTCTGAAGAAAAAAAAACGCACACACACACACACAAAACACGCAAAGACGACAAGGATCACAGACATTCCGTCCTGCCAGAGGCCAACCGCTCTCTGCACCATGGTGGTGAAGAAAAGCATCCGCCTCAGATCCGTAAAGCCAAAGAGACCTACCCACCCTTTTTTGAGAGTGGGACGCCCTGTGGGCGTCCAAGTGTTACAGCGTTTTCAGCTGTTTTTGTCTGCCTTTTTTAGGGTCTCCTCTGTCAGATCTTGTAATTATCCTTGGGCATATCCCTTAAGAGCCAATGTAGCCTGGATGATTTACCCAGGTCTTGTACGCCTCGTGTGGCTGTATAACCGACCATCATGTGCGTGCATTTACATATATATATATAATGTGTATAATATATAATATATAATATGTACAATAGGATATGAGTTGTTATAGTTCGGAGCCAGTGCACGGGTGCACCAACCAAACACTTATTGTGTTGTAGTGAATCAACTGTGACTGTAACAAGAATAGCTTGATAACGACTGCTGTGATAGCTAATGCAAATCGGCAACTTGCATAACTGGCACACAACAGGTATGGAAGTACTATGCTAATGTATGGTCTTTTGTTTTTTACATCCATATTCACCCACCATTCACTGATAAACTTCCCTTTCATTCATCTGTTGAACGAAATGTCTATGACATGTTCAACAAGCCAAGCAGTTTTTCACGGAGTATCTGTGACTCCCCCTAGATCGATCAAATATCTGCTGGCCAGCTATGGGTAAGGCCCGTTTCAGCAGCCCCGTTTCAAGACATGGGCCATCGGGCTGATGGTAACTGGCAGCTTCGAAATCCATGGCCCAACCCGCAATCCGCAATCCCCTCAATCCTTGTCTTTGGTAATCGTCTTAATCCGTAACTTGCGCAAAGCGTGATTCGACAGCAATTGAAAATGCATGCAAGCCCCAATCCGTAGGCTCTAAACCGCATAGTCTAATCTTGAAAATTATATGATCAGTAAGCTGCGTGTCATTTGGGGGATAAGCTAGCTTTCAACAAGCTAGAAAACAATAAGCTTTTTTACACGTTGAAGGATCCAGCTAAAAGCAAACTCGCGGATAGCATTGCATCAACCGAGAAGGGTGCCTTGTGAGATTGAACCTTGATTGATCTCATTTCTGGAGAGTGCTGTGCGGGCTGCCTTTTGCCGCATCCTCGTAACTGTACAAGCGGGGCGCACCCTGCGAGGCGCACGCGGCATTCAGTCCTAAATCCTACGAGTTGAAAGCCGGCCGGCCAAAAGCAACACGGCTGCCAACCTGCACAGCGTCAAATTGGCGAGGGGGCATCCTCAATTCGGCAAATATATCGCCTGGAATTTCAGGCAACATACTATGATCCTTTCAACGCTCTCCTTGGGTTCAGGGCTTGCCTTTTCGACTGAAATGAATAGCCGCCCTTTTTTCAAGGGTTTCTGCACTGCCAGGGGGGCGGCATATTTATCACACAAACAATGGAAAAGGCAAACCATGCAACTTGGGTTCTGGTGTCTCTCAAAACGGTGCCGTCAGGATGATCCCATGGCTGGCAGAGGGCATGCAGGTCCCGATGAAGCTGTGAGGTGCCGAGACCAAAGCGCTTCAGAACAAGTGGCCCGCAACCAAACTTGGAGACATCCCCACCATACCCCCTACCATAAGGGGGAGGGGGCGGGGTCCCCAATTCCACCATCAAAAAAGGAAAGGGAAAAAATCTATGGAATTCCAGGGTCACCCCCCTCCCCCAACTCCGTATTTAAGGGGCGGGCTAAAGCTCAGGCACTCAGGGAGTGAGGGAAACCTTTTTTGGGAGCCCAGCAAGGAGGTTGCATCTGGGCGAACATCAGCTCGGCATGGAGATTCATGTCCACCAAAGATGTTTGTCTCAACATGGGGACCCTCAAAATGGTTGATTTCCTGTCCGTTCCCATTCAACACCAACCAAAAAGCAGGTAATTACCCTGAAAAAAAGACACCAACAAATATGTTGTAGGATGCTCCAACAACAAGTCTCAACACTTCTCTTTTCCGGCTGTTGGTCTCAAGCGGCTTGCGCCCATCGAATTCGGCGGTCAGTATTAGGGGAAGCCTCCCCATTCTTTCTAGTGTGAACAAATCTCATAAAAACCGGCGGATTTGTTCTGTGGCGGTGAAAGGAATGGGGAAGCCACCCGCAGGTCTCCAACCCTGAGTTGATCTTCGGTACCCGAACTTCTTTGCGAAGGCCGCTGACACGGCCTAGACATCCAGAACCGGGAACTTAGATCGCACTGTGCCAAACAAGTCCAACACAGGCCTTATCATGAGTGGGCCCCAGAAACTCGGAACTTATGAGTGGGTCCAACTCCAGTGAGATCTCATGAGTGGGCCCAAAGTCCAACTCAGATCAGAGATCCGTCAATAAGATCTC